ACTAAGTAGTTACATTTCACATCAATACATTTATCCTTTAATGCAAACAGTCCACTCATAGAATCACTAAGTATTATAAATTTGAAAAATGATGATGAACTGAAATTCAATAATATATATTTAACAGCATAAATCATGCCTAAGATTTCAGCAGAAAAAATTGAGAAATTGTGATCACATGAATAAACTTTACCAATTTTATTACAAGAATCGTAAAATGCAAAACTAGTGCGATTATTTGTTTTAGAACCATCAGTATAAATTTTTATGTAATCTTTTTTCTCGCTCAGAAACTCATAAAAGTCTTGTTTTGAATCGAATCTCGTTAACGTAACTTCAACATCACGTAGCATTACTGCAAAGTTGTAAGAGAAACAAGGAGGTTTAAACGACCAATAAATTATATCTTGAAATTCAAAGTTTAAATAGGTGATTGATTCTGTAATGGAAGGCATCGCAGGTATAGGAATATTATTATAATTAGGGATTGCAAAATTTTCAAGGTAACGACTAACTAAAACATTGTCACGACTAATTAAATTCAGACAAAATTTTTCTGATAAATAACTTCTTCTTATATGTAAAGGCGGTACTCCAGATTCGACTTCTAAGGAATTTATAGGAGAAGATATCATAGCCCCTGTAACTATTCTTAGCCCTTTATTTTGAACAATATCTAGTTTTTTCAGAAACTGTTTGGATGCGTGAGCATAAAAAATACTACCATAATCTAATTGACTACGAACTGTAGAAATAAAAAAGCTTTTCAATATTTTTGGATCAGAGCCCCAGTTAACCCCAACCAGAGATTTCAAAATATTTAAACGCAATTCTGCTTTTTTACATGAATATGTAATGTGGGGACCCCAAGATAATTCTGAATCAAGTATGATACCTAAATACTTCTCAGACGTTTTGTAAGGTATAAGAGTATTATTATAATATATACGAGGACTGACAGGGCAACTATAGGCAAAGAGCATAACTGAACTTTTGTTTACGTTTACTTCTAGTTCTAATTGATTATTTAACAAGTTACTAAGATAGGTAAGACAATTGTTCATAATTCGTTCACCCTTACACAGATCTTCACAGTCTAAGTATATAACAACGTCATCAGCATAGAAAGTATATTTAACTAAATTCGGTATGAGTTTCATAAAATTTACAAGACTTAAAATAAAAAGTAGTGGTGAAATAACTGATCCTTGGGGGGTACCTTTAAAAGACTTACACGGACCGTATAAATTATCCCTAATTTTTAATGTAACGGAGCGACCATTTAAAAACTGAAAAATCCAAAATAAAACTGGACCAGGAATACCTAATGAACTTAAAGTTTGAATCAAGTACTCGTGTTTAATATTATCGAATGCGCCTTTTATGTCTAGAAAAACGGCGATAGTTATTTTATTTTTTCTAAGATTACTTTGTATGTCGCCTAATAAACAACCTAAATTGTACATCGTGCTCTTTCCCTTGCGAAAACCAAACTGGTAATCAGGTATAAGAGAGTTATGTTCGATAAACCATTCTAATCTATTTTTTAACATTGTCTCAAATAACTTTGCTAAGCACGAAGTCAAAGAGATGGGTCTATACGCATCTGAGCTATTGCCATCCTTATTAGGTTTTAAAATAGGTATTACAATCTGAGTCTTCCAGATAGGAGGTATAATATTATTTTTCCATAGTTGATTGTATATATTTAAAAGAAGACTTTTTGCGTTTTCAGAAAGATTTTTAATGACAGAATATGGAATATAATCAGGGCCTGGTGAAGTATTCTTTTTATTATTTAAGGCAGCTTCAAATTCAAACATATGAAAGGGATTTTGGATCCATTTCGCTGACTCACTTCCCTTGGATGTGAAGTACGAATCTAAATTATAGGAATTTATATCAGAAGAATTCGAAGGAGTTATATTATTTAAATAAGCCCATGCGTTGGACTGATTATCAAAATAATGTGACCTAGAAATATTTCCTAATTTAGCAAATTTAAATCTTCTAATTTGATCCCAAATTATTTTAACAGGTGTAGTTCTGTTAAAGGAATTACAAAAATTGGCCCAACTTGAAAGCTTTTGTTCAGCTAATATTCTTTTCTTTTTAGCATCGAATTGCTTATATAAAATATAATTTTCTAAAGTAGGATATTTTTTAAATGAGTTTAGAGCGAGTTTAGCTCTTTTAACTGCTAGAGAACAAATATCATTCCACCAAATAGTAGGCTTGCGTTTTCTGTTATGGCAACTGAATTTTTGTTTTTTAGGAAATGTCATTAAAATATTACATAAATTTTCAATAAATGAAGTATAGTTTGTTAAAGGATCCGATTCTAAAGTAAAACAGGAAAAAGCATCATCACATAGCTGGGAAAATTTTAACCAATCTATTTTTAGAAAGTTAACATCAGCCAAGTAAGAAGAACTATCTGAAATATTCTGAGAATTTACGTTCTTTGCAGATGATGAAAAACTGATATGGTCGTGATACAGAAAGCTAATTAAAACGGGAAAATGATTACTGCTTATCAAATCGTCGTAAACAGAGAATGTACAACTTGAACTTACCGCAGGTGATGCAAAAACCAAGTCCAAAACGTTGCCGTTCTGATTATACGATGCAAAAGTTGTGACTGTGTGATCATTTAGGCAAATAAGATTATGGTCGTCAGCAAAAGAATTAATTATATTGCCCCTTCTGTCGTTATACCTAGAGCCCCAGGATGAATGATGAGCATTGAAGTCACCAATCAATAAATAGTTTCTGTTTTTAATATATTTATATGAATTTGAAAGCATTTCTAAATCAAATTTACCCTTAGGTGGAGGAGGTACATACACACATAGTATATCAACACAAGTGTAGCCAGTCTTGACTGAAATTAATAAATTTTGAAAGTGATAATTTGATGGTGTATTAATTACTTTATGAACATGCTTGTCTTTGATAGCAACTGCTATGCCACCATGAGGATGATCAGAATCACGTCGAATAATTTTGTAACCAGGCAACTTAAATAGCTTTGGAGTATTAAGCCAAGTTTCATTTAGAAGAATTAAATCGAATTTGGAAGAATAATTATTGAGAAAATATTTAAATTGGTCTAATTTAGATAAAATGCTGCGACAATTCCAATGACAAATGTGAAATTCATTAATACCAACCTCACTGTCCATAAAATTAGGAATTAAAATTGGAAATAAGAGTTTCTTTTATGAGTTTTGATGAGATAGTGTTACCTGAATGAGCATCTTTCTTATTTACAGCAATGTCTACAAGTGTTTTTGTTAATACATTTAGCACATCATCTGAGTTAAGAATATCTGTAAATAACAATCTTTTCTGTGGTGCATTAAGTAGCTTCAAGTGATGTTTTGGTGTAGAAGAATCAGATCTTGGGATATCTGAAGTTACTGTCTGAACTTTAGAGGTGACTGTAGCATAAGTTTGTTTGCCACTAATTCGATCTTTCAGTTCTTGATTTTTGGCTGATTTAATAGGGCAAGTGTTGCTGATAGCCATGTGAGTACCATTGCAATTGATGCATTTAAGTTTGTCTTTATTGGTGCATTCTTTAAAGAAGTGATTCCCAGAACATATAGAGCATACTTGAGAGCTTCTGCAGGATCCACGGCTGTGTCCAAATTTGTAACAGACAAAACACTGGCGCACAGGTTTGATATATTCCTTTACATCAAACCACATAAAATCATAAGTCACATGATCAGGACGAGTTGAGCTCAGAAATGTAACAAGCACTGTTGGTGTAGGGGAGAATGATCCATCCTGATTCTTCCTCATGAAGCGTTTCACACCTATTACTTCATAATTCGATTTTATATTTGTTAATAAATCTTCCTCTTTAATTTCTTGTGGTACTTTTATTATTCCTAGACTTTCCAGACGATCATAGGGAATTTTTGCTTGCCAATCATGTTTTTCTAATAAAGATTTATCTAAAAGAAATGCATTTGCATCTTTTTTTGTGGAAAAATAAGCTTTGAAAAGGAAATTGCCAATGCGTTTTACATACATCAGACCAGTACAAGATTTTAATATGTTATTTATCTTCATTAAATCAAGTTTTGTGTTGGGAGAGGATGAAGATATTAATAATGGATATTCTTTTTTGCAATCTTCTGTGTACATATGGACATAGTCTTTGAAAACGCCTCTTTTATTTGTGATAAAATTTGCCGCCATCTTAATCGGTGGTGGACAGTCTTCTCCGCCTACTAATTTTCTTTTGGATGCAGGCCTGCCGCCACTCTCTTCGTTCATTATTATGAAATCGTATATTAATCAGTTTACATATACGTAAAGATAGGAATAAAAATTTATTCAGCTAAAAAGGGCTTGTGAAGGAATAGTTTTAAATTTTATTTCAAATATCCCGCCTAACACTTTGAATGTTCGCGCCCTTTTCCCCAAAACATGAAAATCGCGTTAAATTGACATTGTTTTTTTTAATTTGAAAGTCATGGATTATACATAATACTGGTAGAAAGTTTTCAAGAAAATGGTTAGTTCTCTAAAGCAAACTAGATGTCACTAGCAGTTTAAGGACGATGACTGTGATATTCGTTCTTGTTTTTGGCTTTCAAAATATTCATTTATTTGAATCGTAAGTTTAAGTTATTTATTATGTTACGTGTAAAGGAACGATGTTTGGTTTATACGTCAACATTAGTGATGAGCCAACTTATTGGTTACTTACGTCTATCATCCGAACGAAGAAGGATTAAAAAAAAAGAAAGCACTAAAAAAGCACCTCCACTAGATGGCGACTCTAGCAAAAGTTGATTTTTGCAGGAAATGAATGGACGAAAGACAGGCATTTCCGTTCTTTTTAACTAACATATAAACTGAAATTTCAAGAGTTCGAAACTTAGATATCAATACAAATAAGCGACATCTAGTTTGATTTCGCGAACTAATGTTTTTTTTAAATACTTTTATTTTATGGTAACGTTATGTCAAAGACACCTACTAAGTCTGTGGTCAAAGACTAAAAAAGGTTATGTTGTTGTTGTTGGGTGTATTTTAAAATTTTTAATAAACTAATATTATGAACACTGTTCTGCAGGTATGGAATATTGTATAAAAGTTTTAACAATTTTAAAAACAAGAATAGAATACAAATATCCATTAGTTTCCATAGTACGTCATTACCATAGGATACCGTTTTTAGATTTCTATTATAAAACTACTGGTGAGTAAATGTTTATCTTAATATTAACATACAACATCTCTCTGAGTTCATTAATTCAGTTTTAGAAGTTCAAGGACTTTTTCGTTTGTTTCCGAAGTTGTTAACTAAAATACTAATGTATACTTTTCTTGTATATTTGTAATGTAAAAATTATATTGTTTTGATACAAATTATAAGTTCTTTGCATGTACTTTCCTGCCTTAGCATATAAATATACCTGCAATACGATTTTTAGATTACTTTTTTTTTTAAGAAAAATGCTTAAAAATATTTCCTTGACACTGAGAATATTCTTCAGTACAGCATTGTGAATAAAACATTTACCCAATATAATAGATTACTTTTCCTAAATCTCTTGATTTTATATTTGATTCAGGTGAAGAATTGTCAGAAACTTATCTTCCTGTTTTGAAAAAAAAACATCCAAACATAGAGAGTCTCACAAATGAAGAAATACAATGCACTCTTAACATTTTGAAAAAATTTGATATTACACCACATGAAGCCTGTAAAAATCTTCATATATTCTCTATGAATCCTATAGCTGTGGATAATTATGGTGAAATACTCAAAGAATGTGGATTTATTAATATCATACCACAATATATTATTAGGTAATGACTTGATTTTTTTATTATTATTTACCTGTTTATTAATTTTCTATACCAATACCCATAATATACTGTATTATGGATATTACTAGAATATATTTACATTACCAAGCTTTTTATATTAGTATTACTTAATAAAGATTTAGGCCTGGTAATATACTAGGAGTCACTTGTGTTTACTCTGTATTTTTTTTAATAGCAAAACTAACATTTCCAGATATCATACATTAGTTAGATCCAAAACTATAAAATTCTTGAAAAAGGAAGGTCTTATGAGAAATGATATTATACTTGAAGAAGCCCTCCTAAATCAATTTCCAGAATGGCCACCTGATAATAAATATTTAGACAAATTTCATGATTCCAATACTTCTATATGTGAGTTAAAATTATATTTGATTATACAATAATTTTATTTTATTTACATGTAATCATAAAATTGAATATATTTTGCAGTGACTGTAAGAAAAAGTGTGTTAAATAAATACTTACATTGGAAGCTATCTACTTCAACGGAAGAATTCGAAAAATATTGTCGCCATTATTTGACTCTAAAACATAAACCCATGTCTGATATTCGTGAAGCTTTAGACATAGCTCAAAATGATATCAAGTTTAATATAGATGTGATTAGGCGAAACGGCTTTATTATATCAACTGATCCCACCAAAACTAAAATGCTTTTAGAAAATGTAACAACCTTGGCAGGTTTAAATATAAGAGAAGCAATAAAAATTGAGCCTGCCATATTAAGAAATCATTACAAATCTGTGTTACATGTTAGAAACATATTGGAGGTATGCTACTAAAAGATAATAAATAATCGATAATAAGTTAAGATGAAACAAATTGACCAGATATCCAGTTAGTCCATCTGTTCCCACTAATGCAGAGAAATTAATTTCTTCATATCTAAATTAAAATCTAGTATCTGGCAGAATAGGCGCTGATTATCCGGTAACTAGCTGGATACCATTTTGGCAGTCTGATACTGAATAGTTACTATAAATCCACTTAATTTCTAAAATTAGCATCTAGATGAGTAAGTTGCTAAAGCTCCTATGCTTTAGTTACTCATCTTGGAATCTGAGCTATGTATGTGATTTTGTTTAATATTAATTTTTTATTTATATGGTTGACACAAAAATCTTTTCAATAGGACGCATATCATAATTATTAAATAATTAATTAAATTATTGCAGGAATATAGAATATCAGAAAAAGCCCAACAACACTGCTTGAAAATTTACTGTATGAAACCATCAACAGTACAACAAAGACTAGATGAACTGAAAACATTGAAAGAATATCAAGTATTGTCTACTAATCCTAGGGTAAGGTGAAAGATTTTTTTAATTAATTAGATGAATTAGACTGATCTAGCAACACAAAAATATATTTAAGTTCAAAATCAAATTTTTTGTTTTGACAATTGGTCTTTTGTAGAATTTTTTTAATTTCATTGGTGTAATTGGTGCCCATAGAGTTCCCTTGTTATTGTTTTATATAATGCCGCAGCAGCCATAATGGAGGTGGCATATTGATTATTTAATAAATAGTCAACTTACGAATTACTTGGCGTCCTAGACAAAACACTGGATCCCGTCCCTATAATTTGGCTTTATATACAGGCCGGCTATGGTACTTACTGTTGTGTTTATTGTAGGCGCTGTCAATGGTGGTTCATAAAAATAAAATGATGCTACGTCTGAAGAAAATTCAAGACGCAAGAAAGCAGTGCTACAGTTTTAACAACCTTGTGGCATCCAATACTGTTTTTAAAAAGTGAGTTGCTTGTAATGTTTTCGTAATTTATAAATATTATTAAAGAGTAAATTTTTTCTTCCACTTTGATTTCATAATAATTAATTAGCCCAGAGTGAGTTCTCGCGCGCAATAGTTATCGCACAATTTTGACTTTTAAAAGCATTCATATTGGTTTTCGTATGACCAATTGATACAGAACTATTATTTCCCGTGATTTCGGAGATTGTTTTGTTGAAAGGTCAATTTCATCTATTTTGTTTATTCTAAATATTCTAAATTATTCACCACAAGAGGCCGCAGTATTTCAACAGTTTAACGTGCTCTCTTATACACAGACGAGCTCGAAATAATAAACTTTTGGTCACCTAAACCATGACCTGCCCTTACCAAAGTTCCTTAGCTTCCGCATCGCAGTTCGATTGCGCTAATCATTGTGCCCTTGAGCTCCTCGGGTACTGTAAGAAGTATGATAATAAAAAAAAATTATATTTCAGTTACATCAGCGGTTTTGGAAACAAAGTATGCGGACGCGACATAGCTACATTAATAGTATCTTACGCCAACAGCGAAGACAGTAGTTCAAAGTCTAAGGATACTGAATTACTTAAAAGTGTACTCAAGCAATTGAAGAGGCATAAGTATTATCTACACGCGACTTTGAGTGTTGTCGACGAAACCATACAGTTTCTTAAGAAGCGATTCGATAGCGACGTTATCTTTAATCAATGTCAGCTGCTTCTATATCCTGTGTAAGTAAACATTTATGAAGAGGAGAATCTCAGGGCTACTCTGTTTGTCTGCGAACGAAAATAAGAAAAATTTCGAATTGTTCTCACAATTTTTAATCATATGCATCACTATTATCTGTGCCTCAGAAGCTGGGTCAGGGTCACCTTCGTTTCATTATTAATTATCAAAAAATTTGTTCCTTTAGAGTCTTATTAGGGTTTCGAAAATAGACGAATTTTCGTTTTCGGAGAAACAGAATTGGCCTTCTGATATCTTATTTTGTATTCAATTTATACTCTAAACGATTCGCTCACAAGGTAATGTGAATGTAGGAAGGTAGACGAAGACTATTCTGTCATCTGTCAAATACTAACTCATGATGATCATTTTCGCTTCAAGCTATACGACTCTGGAATGTACTGCCTTCCCACATACAAGCTGCTCCGAATAAACTTGCTTTCAAACGTCTACTGCGCGAACATCTATTGAATTCTTCTGTGGTTTGTGGTTAAATTGTTTATGTAATTATATATATTTATTTGTTTATATACACAAATGTATATATATATATATATATATTTATTTATTTATGTATGTGTGGTATGTATGTGTATGTAAATTTATGCATAGATATTGGTAGTTGTAATTTAATTTTTCACATTGAAACTGTTTGGCTCTCTGTTTCATTGTTGCACCGCCTTTTTTTTCTCTGCTCTCTGCTAAAACTCTCCGGTTGACTGGTAGAGAATGCCCCCATGGCATTAAGTCCGCCATTTGTACATTTTAATTTGTGCAATAAAGCTTAAATAAATAAATTAATGATACGAAATGATTAAAATCCGTTTAGTAGTTCAAGTCATTTCATCATATAAGACAATGGGAAGCGATTTTGTTTTAAACAACGTATAGATCAGGCATTATTTATTATTTGTTAATAAGGCAAAAAAAAGGGCGATCTAGATGGCGCAATCGCTAACGCACTCTGTCTGCGATACGGTTGTTAGGCAACTTTCGCAATGATCGGTCACAGGATAGGTGACCAAAAATTTGTTATCTCGAATTGGTACTCGGCTGCATCTGCAGTCGTTAATACCCACCTATCCGCACTGAACCAACGTAGTGGTAATTCGTCTCATTCTCCCTATTCAATTCGATTCATCCACAGGGAAGACGTGGGAACATTAATAGGCTGAAAACAAAAGTGAAAGTGAAGCTGAAAACAATATTTTTATTGTGTAATTACCACAATTTCCAAGTTATGTAGTCAATTCAATTCGACACGAAATCTCTACACAGTAAGAGACCATAATTTTTTTTTCTTTTCAGTTCAGAGATAGAAGTCTATTTGAATCATTTGTTAGAATTACGGAATGGTGGTGAAAACAAACTGAAGCATGATATACGGCTAGATGCCACATATAATTATTTAAAATACCAACAATTAACCGACGATCAAATACTAAGTTTAGTATTATACGAAATTGAGAAAAAATACCATTTCAGCGGCGATGGTATATGGGCGAGACAAGATGGAATGAAGGCGGAGTCTGTAGCGGCATCTTAACTGCAGGATCGGAAAGAGATATTTTTAAAATGCTATTTAAACATTTAAATTTGATCTTAAAGCTCTTATAATTTTAAATCGTTTGGTATAGAAAATTTTAAGGCAGTTTGTAAAGTTTAGTTTTTATAAAAGATTTGTTGCTCCATGGAAATAAGATATGACTCCATAGACACCTAGTACTGTTTTTGTGTTTATGGATTTTTATTGGTCCATAATTGTTAACAGCCAACCAATTATAAAAAAAAAAAAATGTTAATAAATGGAATATGTAAATATATACTATTAAGTATTTGTTTTATATGTTATTAATTTTGTATATGTTTAAGTATAAGGATTGAAATAAAAAACTACATAAAAAGCACTTTGGTATATAATTCATTCATTCACTTGTAATTTATAAAATATCTAGCTTATTGCTTTAGAAAACTTAACTTTTTATAATTCTAAGTATGCACACAAATTAATAAGGTAATTGCATCTAGAAGCGTCTCTGTTTTTGAAAGCGCGAGTGATAAAAAAAACATCGGGAATACCTTACATTTTTGTTAGTTTTTATATCTCGGTCTTTCAAAAGAGGTTGCATTCTCTAATACTACTCATTGAACGTATTCAAGGAGGCGAAACAAACGAGTTATATAATGATTTGTTTAAACCTCTGCACGCCACCGTGTCGTCAGTATTCAGTAGTGATTTTCTGTTATAAAATCAGCGCTGTTATATCATAGAGGTTCGATCAAATAAAACCTACTTCAAAATGTACCTAATAAAAGGTTATTTTATTGAAGCTCTGTTCAGGGGCCTAGCTACCACCATATCAGCCTTATCAATGATACGAAGCCCACGAGCTACAAGGGCGTAACGTGCGTAAGCAAAAAAATTACCTTTCATTTGGGCCCCCAAATAATTTTGATACGGGCCTCTTCAAGCACGTTACGCCGCTAGTTCTGATATGATGTGTCAGCGCTGCGCTCGACGTCCAATTCGATACTGTTTTACAACAAAATAATATACAGAATTCGTTTCGTTCGCCTCTTTCGGTTCTGATTGATCTACTTGCAACTTAAAGCGGCGCTACCCAAGTAGAAATTATAAATTATCATTAATTTTGAACTCTGCTCTTCGAACTTTTATAAGAAAGACGTATTGTTCAAATTATATTCGAGTTTTATTGATTATATAAATCCTGTACTATTTAATTAAATTCGTGAAAACTTACTAATTGAAAAAGAGATCCATGTTTATTATATATCTACAGGAAAAATTAGTTACCAGTTCACAAATATTTTCCTATGGTTTAGTATCGATAGAACATATTTAAGAATATATTTTTATGTTTAAATGTTAAATTTAACTTTGATTATAACACATACTAAAAATGTTATGTCTATTTTAATAGTTACTAATAAACTGCTGATATTTTTAATAAAAAATGCTTAAAAAATGCACCAACCCCAGGTACCTCGAGATGTGACTCGAGGTAAACCATATTGACCAATGGCAGGTATGTAGACTAAAACAGTCAATGTTTTTTAGAGTGAAAAACGGGACAAACGAGACAAAAATACTAAGATCCGCTGTCCGTCCGTCATCAAGCTCAGTCTAATGAACCGTGATAGCTAGACTGTTAATATTAGCACAGATAACGTATTTCTGTTGCCGCTATACAACAAACGTTATTTTTGCGTTTTTTTTTTCATAGATCAAGTTACGAAAACCTTTGTGCTCGAGTTAGCAACCTGAAAAAAGATAAAACGTAACGACCACAATATTAAATTTAGTGTACTGGCTACAAATTTATCCTGTAAGTGAAATGTTCAATTGTTTCGCAAAATTTCATAACTTTCATAAAGTAATTCTTACCATATCTACGAGACCTCTATACATTACATTCGTTCATTAACATTGTGACAAATAAGTATACATAAGTGTAAAATGAAATTAAGTTATACACACACATTATATTGGTCCACGTAAATCTACGATAACTATTATTACATAATAAGAAATATAATAATAAAAATTTTGGCACAAATTCACACGGTAAATGTACTATATTTACAAAAAAAAATCTACATTACCAAAATGTATTCATTCATCGAAACCATTGACATTATAAAACAAAAAACTAGCCGTATCTTTGGTTTTTTAAAAACAAGCTGTATCTTTGGTTTTTTAAAGTTGGATTTTTCAATCCTTTGATAAAGCTCCTACGTTCGCTTTAACACTGTCAGAATTTTTTTCTTTTCAATGCAAAATTAAATGACACATTATGTTATTAGAAGGAATTAAATATATGATTTCTATATCATGAGCTTGATGGCGCAGTGTAAACGCATTAAGTCTACGATACGGTTATTAAGCAATTTCTACAAGGGCCGGGTCATAGGATGGATGTGCAAAAAAATATGATCTCGAGCTCCTCCATACTTCCGAAGGCCCTAAAGCCGTTGGTCCCGATGCATCTGCAGTCGTTAACACCCACTAAACCGCACTGGACCCACGTAAGGGACATGAACTATTTTCCCTATTCGATTCAGTAATAGGCAGATCATTATGGTCATATATAACGGAAATGTGATGCGCTTCACTGATCGCGGAATGTCGTAACTGACCAATTATAGGTATGCATGATATGACATTCAACCTTGCACACTCTTCGAAAGATCCGTTGTACGCTAACGCACCGACCCTAAATAGCAAATCATAAATAAATGAACTTAATTTAGTTCATATCATTAAGTGGTTTAAAACCATAAAATTTCGGATTTGAACTTTATAAGTCTCGCCTTTCCTACTCAACATTAACGAAAGCATTCTTAAAAAATAATATTTAATCTTATTCGTTTACTTACAATAGGTATTATAAATATATTGTATATATGACTACAAGACTGTAGACGTGTATATTATAAGGCACAGGGAATGCACGAGAAGCGAAGTCTCTAGAAATTACAAAACCATATTAAAAAGATATTTTTAAGTAAAAATTTACATTTATATAAGACCATAATTATTTCACTTATTAATCTCAATAATTTCCTAATACTTAATAAAATTTATTTACATTTTATTGCGAAATTTCTTAAGTTTTTCTAAGGATATCAAACCTAATAAAGTTATACATAATTTACGTTATATATCGCGAACATCTTTAAAAAATCCTTATATAAAATTAAACAATCTTAGACAAAAACCCATATTTTAAAATAATAAATGCGTGCATATATTTCAGAGTACTCAACGTCCGCATATGGAAAATTCAAAAGGGAATAAATACTCCTTTTCGAAATTATTCTCATCGCAATCAGGATAATTTCGAAAAGGAGTATTTCAATTCAAAAAAGGGGGCAGTGTGGTATACGCTTGCCCCGCCGTCGTAGGTTCCATCTTAACGACTACAGGCTGGGATAGTTCGCCGTGTCGGTCCATCTCGTAATGTTTCTCATGGGAGACCATGCATTTTTCGTATTCCTCAGAGGGGGGCGCATAACGAGGTGGTTCCTCTTGCATTGCACACGCATTATACTTATCTTCGTGTTCGTGCGAACGATACTCTAGTTTGTCATCGTGCGAGTGCCCTTCCATTTGTGGTGAATGTGCAGCCATCATGGGGTAATCCGGTACGCCAAGAGGGGGTGGACTACCTTCACCGTATTCATATGAATGCCGCGGCGCGAACATTTGTCCATCATGCCCGTTTAGAACGGTTGTGTATGAATAAGCTGCCGGTTGTGCGTTGAATCCCGGATAGCCACTACTACTTGACGATAGTAAATGATGCGAGGATAATTCGTAGGAGTGCTGGTATGACCAAGAGTCTGCTGGGGCGGAGAGGCCGTTCTGCGGGAAGGCGGGCAAGTTGCCCCCGATGGCTGTGAAGCCGCCTCCTAGGGTAGTGGAGCTCGGTGAACTGGAACCGATGTAACCAGTTTTTCTTGGAGGTTCTCGCTTTCGCCATTTCGCTCTTCTATTTTGGAACCAAACCTAAAACAATATGCAATTGTTTTAATCATCTATATTAATTTTATAAACAGGAAAGATCTGACCGTTTCTTTATTTATATTGAAGATCTGAAGATAGTTTCAGTATATGTGATGTTATCTTATATTTATTTTAAGCTTTTGCCTGCAAAATTATTCTATTTTGATATGAATTATGTCTTACTATGGTAAATTAAATCACGTTATCCTAAAAACTTTGTAATGTGTGAGAGAAATCGATTTAATTTATATAAAAAACTAGTGGCCGCCAGCGACTTCATCTGCATTTTCCATTATTTTTTCGCTCCTAATAGTTGCAGCGTGATGTTATATAGCCTAAAGCCTTCCTCGATAAATGGTCTACTCAAAACGAATTTTTCAATTCGAACCAGTATTTCCTGAGATTAGCGCGTTCAAACAAACAAACTCTTCAGCTTTATAATATTAGTATTGATATAGTGTGTATTGTAAGCAGTTAGGTATATAAACTAAAAGCTTTTGTTCATATTGTTCTTATTTAAACACTTGGGAAAGAAAAAAATACCTGAACTCGTGATTCAGACAAATTAAGTTTCAGAGCCAGTTCTTCTCTTGCAAATACATCGGGGTATGGCGCTCTTTCAAACGCTCTCTCCAACTCTTCTAATTGATATGCCGTAAAGGTAGTCCTGTGAACAAAAGTAAAAGTCACATATTTCCTTTAAAACTAATAGCAAAATAACTTAAAGGAAAGTCGACAACATAGTGGACGCATTATTTAAGATATATCACAAGTTTCATTCTGCTCTATTCTACTTTACGATCTTTAAAGTGTGTATATTAGCACGCACGATGAAATGTTTCCTGGTAAATCTAAGATTTTACAAAAATATGTTTAAATGGCTCTTAATAAGAGCACATTAGGTGTTGAAGTTGAGCAACTGACTAACTTACGTGGTTAACATACTCGTATGGATACCACGTGATTGTGACGCCTTTATTATAAACGCTGTAAAAATTTAAAATAAGTAATATTTTACATTACTCTGATTTCTTCACAAGACTTCTATATTTAATATAATCCTAATAAGATATTTATTTGTGTTATAGAAATTACAGTCAATTAAAATATTTGACGTGATCAGGAAGTGAACCTGTGTTCATAGAGAGCGTACAAATAAATTCAATGCTTAAACAGAATTTATAGTTAATAATACCTAATTTGTTTTTATACTACGCATCCTTGTTTACTATATCTACCTACTTATAATACTCTGGTTCTCAATTTCGTCATAATCTAAGTCTGATAATGTCTCTACTGCTAGGGCACAAGCCCTAGCTATTCACGGAATCAAATGGGGAGAACAGGCCATAAACCATCATTCAGGCCCAATGTGGAATACAGCAGTTAAAACTGGAGATGCACTAGTAACCAACAGCGTGACGAATTAATAAAATCCCTGTATCTGTGTAACACCGCTGTGCCCCAGACTGATGAATAGGAGATTAAATGAATACCAGCAGTGGTATTGTTGGACAAAATCAGCGACAAACTTGATATATAAATTTGCAAGCTTAGTTATAGGTGAAACATGATGTACATATCAAAAATTAACTCTTTTATCTTATTAACCATGTTTGTGGCAAATGAATAAATGAAATTAATAAATTGAGCAAAGCGCTGTCAAAACATAGAGCTCTTAGCAAATAAGACCTACTTCAATAATAGTAATAAAGTTTTAATTTGATTGAATCTCTATGATGTTATAGATCTGCCCTGCGATTCTGTAAAAATCCAGACCCGAATTCGAATTCGCTCATGTGTCCGAATTCACGTCATTTAGTGTAAAAATTCTATTGATTCCATTTTTTTTTGTATAAAAATACAAAACAAAATTTATTGAATACACGTGTCTCAGATATTCTATTCCTATATCATTTCGAAACTCACTTCACTTATGCTACGAAACGTTATACCAATGCAAGGTTGAGCGTATGCCTCTTTTTGAAGTCAATTCGGACACCTGAGAGAATTTGAATTCGGGTTTGGAATTTTACAGAATCGCAGGGCTGTTCTCGATGTCGAGTTCGAGGCTGATTTTATTACAGAATAACAAAGCTGGTAAGATTTTTGCGAGTTCGGTACTATAAATACAGAGTTATAGCTGTGGCGCTGCCGGATTGACGTCTGCCTTAAAACCACGTAGCTTGGCTATTTGTCCCTGTTTCGTATCAAACTGATAACTAAGGGACTTGATTGGTCAAGAATTCGTTTCAAAATACAATAGGGTGAGTGCCTACGACTGACTTGTGTGAATAGCTGGATTCACTGACAACGCGCGACACCGATTGCGTTTACCACACAGCGAATTCGAATTCCTCGGTACTCAATTACAAATTCACAAATAAATTGTCTTATCGCTGGACTCATCTGCCATCTGACGCGTGCAATATGGCTGCGGGACACGCGCCCGCGCAGAAATTGATTGAGCGTGAAACTAAATTCACCCCTGTTGCGTTACCGCCACTATAATTGCCTGCCAATTGACTCCACACTTTATAGTGAGGTTTTATTAATTGTTTCGACGCGTTTTATTTGACCATTAATCATTTCACTGAGTGTAAAGGTATCTCAATGAATCGATGAGTGATGATTATATATGAACGAATATTTCAAGTACTCAAAAATTTAAAAAACCAATGCGGGAAAAAACGTTAAAAGTATGAATGAATAAAATGCTCTTTATTTTACACATACCTTAAAAAAAGACACAAACGTCATAATAAAACAGCGAGTAGGTAAAATTGGCGGCCTTATTACTAAAAGAAATTTCGTCCCGGCAACTTTAGTATATATTTATAAATAGATCTAAAATGCAAGACTTTTTAAGCCGTATAAGTTTTGATGTTATCCTGTAACATCTAATTTACTTTTGAACAATTAAAAATTTTGTGCATAACGATATTTTGTATGTGAATTCAAAATTTAATAAACTATAGCTTAATACTCCTTTGTCTGAAGTAAGTGATAAACAAACAATGAATTGTATGCCAGTTAATTCCGTTACTTCTACTACTTAAATAAAGTAACTATAAAACTGTTAACAATATTCCAAAGAACTAGTCAATAGGAAGATATCATAAAGAAACTAGTTTGATGCAAACTTGAAATAATGACGTATAATCTACCCGAACATTTTAGGCACGCATGTCTTTGTTCATGAAAACAAATGACGATTTCATTAATGAATATATTAAAGTCATGTTGGTGCGATTTGTCGTACAGACTGTTGGCGACGTTATGATCCATATTGTTGAGATGAGAGACGCGATAAGGCAATTGACTCCCTGCCGTCATACGGGTAATTAAGTTGACTGAAAATGACGCGGCCTGTGTTACTATCGGGAAGTAACGACCCCTGTGTTAGCTTTTATTAGTTATGTAAGTATTTAACCTATGAAAGAGAAAGACGGGCTCATTCAAGTCGAAAGAAATGCACAGTGGGGACACTTGACATCTTATCCCCGTCTTTAATAGAAATATTATTTATGTGGCATACTTAAGATGGAACATTTTTTGTATTTTATATTACTTAGTAAAGTTTTAATGAAGAAAAATTTATTAAAAGAAGTCATTAAAAATAAATAAAAAAACAGTAAATAAGTAACAGCCAGTGTTGTCTAATTGCATAAATAAAATTAGCTCCCGACAACGGAATTTCTAGTAGTCAAATTAGTATGTATATGAAAATATTATTATATTATTATTATTATAAACCTTATTCAAACATTACATATGAACATTTTATTTCAGTTGTTCATATTTGACAAAAACAGTTTTAACGGATTTTAATAGTAGGCCGCTCAATGAATTTTGTGATTCAAAAGAGTGACTTAAACAAAGAGAAAACGTTCCTTACTGATTTTTTTAACGGTTCTCTTCTCAGTAAAATGCACTTGTTTAAAAGTAATTTAGAAATAATACCGATTATAAATACTACAAAATAAAGAATTTTAAAATACTATTTATTTAAAAAAAACTGAGTCCATCCGGTTTCAAAGTATTTTTTACCCAAAATAGAAACATGTGTTATGAACGCTTTTTAAAAATCATCGTATTAGTAATGCAAATATAAGGAGGGTGCGGCGCATAAAGGATTCCGATGCAGGGCTGAAACGACCACCTGTGCTAAGTGCCGTCGCGTGTCTCTCACCCTCTTTGTCCACGTGCTTTCAATAGAGTAGTTTCATTTAACTTTAGTTAAACAATGAAGAATACTATGGACCAATCGGATATTCGTAATACCTTAAATGAGAATTGAGGAGGAAAACCATGTAATATTATAAAAAGGCAGTGGCGTAACCACAGGGTGGCAAGTCGGCAAAATGCCACGGGCCCCCAACTAGAAGGGGCCCCCGGTAAGAGGTGACTCCTTACTCCTGATATTTATTATTACACGATCAGTAAAAAAATAGAATGTCAGATGAATTTTCCCCGGGCCTCAAACGGTATAGTTAGGCCACTGTAAAAAGGTAAAATATTTATTTGTTTGATTAAATATTTTGATCGTTTGTAGTGATACTATTACGATTTGGATCCGATCATGAAAATTCTTATAATTTACTCTAATTTACAAGGACGAAGTCGCGTGAAAATTACTAATGAGCTATGTTTTATATAAATAAGTTTTCCAAGCCGATAACCTATTTGTAGTCTATAACAAAATCTACCGAAACGTACCATTTTCAAAATTCTTGTGTCACTTAATACATTTCAACAGTGTAAGATCATAATTTTATTTTTTTGCAATTAGCCATTGTCAATGCAAAATTAATCAAATAATTTAATCATCTTTTTGTACTTTATGTTAATAATATTGTAATAGAAAGTGACCTCTTAAAGTCACTTGACTCTTACACATATTTTTTGGTTTTTATAAACATCGTTACTTCTGTTAGAGCTGGTAGGTTTCTTACGCTCGTTCTTCTTATCAGGCAACATATGTCTTCAACGGGTGGTAGGTAAAAATATTGGACGAATCAACAGTACTTTTAACAACCAATTTTGTTAAAATAAAGATTTTGGATTACATTTCCTTTGCTATTCTGTAGAGAAATAGATCTGATTATGGTACTACATAAACAGACCTATTTGTAAAAACTAGTCTGTTAGTGTTCGATGTATTTTCACTTCTCTTAAAAATTCCGTCCTATAACGTACCACAGTAAGGTTAAAATAGCATTTCCATCTCTAGGAAAAAAAGTTAAATTATGTTAAGCCTTGAAAACATAATTTACCCGATCAATAGCGCGCGCGACTAAATACTATAACAAAAATATAATTATTGTTATAGTATTTAGTCTTATCTTCCTCTACCCATGTTAACTAGTCAAAAATGTCACTATTGATAACTGCTTGATTAAACTGCCCTTAAAACTTGTCTATCCAAATATAATTTTGTTGGTAGGATTTTTACTTAAATTTTGCCTTACTATAGAAGTTGTACTATAGCTATTGCTATAATCATAAAAATAATAATATCTTAATTGTCATATGAATATGTAACTGATATTTTAATAACAGAAATAAAGTGTAAATATAACATTTCACTTTAACAATTAAACTTTTGAAAAGTTATTAATATCAAATTAACATTTATATTTATCAGTATAATATAAAGCTGCGTATATATAACATAAAATATTGTAAATTGTCATTTATAAAAAGAACTAGACAAATTATAAGTTTACAGGCTTTTCTTAAACATGCTGAGGTCCTGTGCTACGATTATATCTTGTAGCAGTATCTTCGTAGCCTATCTTCGTAGCCTCTACGTCCGTAGTAAGCTACGACAGCGAACTTAAGTTCGTAGCCTGAATTTTACTTTATAGTTCTTATGAAATCTCAACACGAACTCACCTGGTTTTCTTCTTCTTTATTCCGTTGTTGTCATTCTTCTTCTTATCACTTTTCTTAGTGGTAGTGGGTGGCGGAGGCGGTGGATGTGTAGAGGCCGTCGATTCCACAGGTTGTAAGAGTAGAGGCTCTTCTTTGCGCTTTTGTTCGGCTGCCGAGAACACGGGCATCTCATCACGATACTGCAGTTCACCTGATGCGCCTACTACCACCTGCACGTGGCGGTCCTTGCCAAACTCGCCGAACATATGATCCTCGAAGGTCTGCTGGTCGATGCCGGCGGGCTCGAAGGCGCACTCGTAGCGCCGGCCCGCCGAGCTGTCCCCGCACACGTACATGTACCCGTCGGCCGGCGGCGGGTGCGGGCCCGCTACCTCCGCGCCCACCTCGCTCGGCTCCGTCGCGAAGGCCTCGCTGCCCAGCTCGCTCGACTACCACCGACCCGATTCAGATATTAAACAATTTAACTTCATTTAATTCGAACCCTCGGGATCGACGAACCGTTCGCATCCGCGTCGCCGTCCCGGTTAAATGACTTTAATCAACTTTAACGAACTAACCGAATTTGCTCAACGGTTGGTCAATTTATATTACCATAATACGTCGAGTGACGGAGGACTAGAGCCAATGAGTAAGGCGTCCGAGGCTGACGGCAGTCGAGCGCGGAGTTGTATTTTGATCTGTAGTGTGCGGTGAGAGGTGAGAGATTGGATCGGGAGGGGTCGGCGCTTAGATCGGTGTGTGTGCGACGAGGGAGAGCCAATGCGGTGCCGGCGCGGCCACTCCCCCGGCACGGTGCGTGATAGCGGCCGACGGCGTGCGGCGGCTGCGGGCGCGCGACTCCTGCACCATGCGGGATTCCCACAGACTCACCCGATATTTTGTTTGTTTCCATAGTATTAGGGCGCGTACGCCCACATCATTATTTTCGAAAGTCCATAAAGTTTCATTGTAAATCCGTATCAACACCGCTTCGTAAATCCGTTTCGACACCGCTCACATGTCTTTTTATGATTTATAGCCGTGGGAATTTTGACTAATTTAATGCTAAAAGTAGCGATTTATAATAAATCTGTTTTACTCTTTCCTTTTATTTATTACACTGGCACCACTGAAACTTAATAACTTTTTTGTAAACATAAGTAACGGTGTCTCATGCCTGAAAGACTAGGAGCGCTCCCAGCGGCAGGCAGGCATAGCGCGAGCAGCGCACGCGCACTGATGCAGCCGATCGACGCTCCATCGCTTAATTATTAATTAACAGTTATTGCCCGGGGATTATTAATAAAACATTCGCCCTGACTATTGGCACTTAGATTAGTGTCGAGGGAGTAATGGCGCATTTCAACAATTTCGGTTGTTATTTAATTGAAGTCAATTTAGATGATCAGAGTCTATTTAGGTTGGTGCTGGCGCTCGACAGCGGGATCTCTGCTTCATTGGGCTTATTGGAGACTTTCAGACAACACGAATTGCACTCGCTGATGCACTTCTCGTCGCATTCGCGGTTATTGTTACGTTGTAATGGGGTCACGGGCATCTAGTTCGTTGCGGACTTCCAGTATTGGTTCAATTTCAGAAGTGCTTCTAAAATAGTGAACGAGAGTGTAGTGGTAGTGACAAATTTTTTTGGAGTGACGAATTCTGTTGGACTTAATGATGCACGCAGATGGAGAAGATGGCGTCAAGCGTGCGTGTGATACACGCTGCGAACAATGTAAACCCAACTTACAGACTTACGTTGACATCTGTTTCTATATAGATACCTAGTTTGTTTCACTATGTTATATGCTTTATTTTTAAGGTAAGTTTACATATTTAGGTAACGTCGAATAGTCAGTTTTGTACGTACGTATGACAGTCTTTAGTTTATAACTTGTCAAAGGTTTTTTAATTATTTTTATTTTCTTTAGTCATTATAATCGACTTCAATAAAGGGGGACATTATACGTTTGTCTGTATCTAATTGCTATACCCATGTATAGGGATATTAAAGTTTGGCTCAGCAGTATTATGAGTACAATCAGTAAAAGATGCAAACTTATTTTTTTGCAAATTTGCGAATATAAATAATATTTATATCAACTTGGTGATGACTTATAAATCAAAAAGAAATGTATTCAAAAGGCTTCAATGTGTAGAAAAATAATTATTAATTTATAATTAACTAGGGTGGTTAATAAATATCGTGAAATTTACTTTTACTGTCAAACAGGATAGAACCAATAGATTTTTCTGTAATATACAGATATAATAATAATTTAACCCAGTAATTTCGCCTAAGTTTCTAAGAGTTTGTTAAGATTTATGTTGAAAAAAAATTGGCTATCAATAAGCCGTTTCATTTGATAAACCTATCACACAATATAATTTCCTTTTTGTTTCATATTCACCTCCAAAAGAGGTAAAACCTCTTTTTTTAAATCTTTTTTCTATTTACGTTGCACTATTAGCCTTTAGGTCAGCGACTTAAAATTCCATTATTACAATAGAGCAGCCTAGTAGTTTTATAGAAAAACCTTTAAAAAATATAGAAACGACTTCAAACTTTAAAAAATGATAAATAATACTTACCTCAAAAACTACTTATTCAAGAAAAAGCAATTGAAGGCGGGCGAGCGGAGTCAAAGCTTGTGTAGCTTATTAATTAAAGGATAGGCTCCCGATTTCAAGGGCATTTTCTTGAATAAGTAGCTTTTTAGATAAGTATTATTTATCTTTTTTTAAGTTTGGAGTCGGTTCTATTATTTATCTCTTTTCATCCCATGCTTTTTAGTGATATTGATATTTTTTTAAATAATAAGTAACATTAACAGCGAGTTGCACAAACATCCATAAAATTTTTCATTACTTTAAAGGGACATTACCCATACGACTTTGACTTCCAATAGAGCTTAAAGGCGTCATTAAACCTTAATGAACGTTTGTGCAATGGCTGTAAAAATATTAATATCTATATAAATAAAAATATTCATCAAAGTGAAAGTCTTAGAAAAGAAGATTTTGCTTATTTGCTCGGCATCATTTTGGCCAATGATTTGTTTACTTGTTTGTTTGCATTGGATAGGCTCCGAAACTATTGGATCGATTTATGAAACTTTTTCATCTAGGGGAAGCTACTAAATACGTTGGACATAGGCTAAAATTTACGCAGGCGAAGAAACAGGAAAACAACTACTTTTATTAAAAATTGGTTCACAATTCAAGAACAAATCGATGAACATATCTACTTTCATAATAAATTTACATACTCCTTGAACATAGAAAATTCACCTTTCGGATTTTTAAGAATTCCATAAACACAATCTTTTGTTTTTTAATTGGAAAGGGCCATGTCTTACAATATCAAACAAAATATTTGGGTGGTATTAGATGAAATACGTATTTTGTTTTGTTATAAAAGCAAAATTATTGATTCGATTTCGATAAAATTAAAACCACCTCGGTTCATTGAGCTATCGAATAAAAAAGGAATTTTGAAAATTGGTCAACAATTGGCGAAAATATCGGTAAACATACATAAAAAAATACATCGCCGTTGACAAATAACTTCCTCCTTTTGGATTTTGAAGTGGCTTAAAAATAGGCTATGTTAGACGGACGTACAAACAGACATCCTAAAATTTTCCTTTTTTGGCATAGAACCCTAAAAATAAACGCTTTATATGCCTCATCAATAAATATTCATATAATGAAGTAAATGTTTTTCCGCGACTTCATCCGCGTAAATTATAACTTATGTCACCCGCATATGATATAGCTTCCCGTTGGTGAAAGAAGATTTAAAATCGGTACCCTATTAAATGCAAACAAACAATCGAATCTTTCGTCTTTACAATATTATTTATTTATTTATTTACACTTCATTGTACAACACACTACAAATATATATAGAACAATACAAACATGAAAATCCTAACTATACAATAGGCGGCCTTAACGCTTAACAGCGTTTTCGTCCAGGCAACCTAAATTTGCAGCTAAAGTTTATTAAGATACAACCCAATGTAGCTAACAACCCGTTGTTGAAAAAGTAACAATACTGACAACTAATCCAATGATCACGGCTTCATAATTTTAAGATTAATGTGAGAGACAGAAATAAACTTCTTACCAGCTTATATATCTACTCTTATGCAGATTGAATTGAATTTTGCATATACCTATAAATTTGGTGACAATGCAGTGCAGCATATTGAATAGAACTGACGATAGAGCCTCGAGATAGTCGTCGGACCTCATCAAGTTTGTTGTGTCTTAGCCATTGATTCACCTTTGTATAAATGCTAAAACAGATACTTAATTTGGGCTCTCTGAATATATTTGATAAATGTATGTAAATGAAAAGCTTATTCACTATATTCCAAAATGTAGGGAAATAATGGATAATGTAAGGAACAACCTAATATTTCTGCGTTTTAAAATATTGGTAAAATATTTTGAACGCTTTCAAAGAGGATTTAGAGTATCTCCTAATAAATACTTAGAAGTAATTCTTCTATCTTCTATATTCATAGAGTATGTATATTTTTTTATAAAAGTACGTATGTTCTTCGATTCCTTCTTGTATTGTGAAAAAAAATCTATCAAACTAACTGTTTCCCCGCGACTTCGCCTGCCTAAATTATAGCCTATGTTCCCCGCGTATTATATAGCTTCCCGTAGCTGAAAAATGTAATCGGTCCAATAGTTTCGGAGCATGTCCAACTTTGCGTTGCAAATAAAAAAAAAACAAGCAATAAAATCTTTTCTACTTATAATATTAGTATAGAATTATTGGAAAAAAATATGTCGAGCAAATGAACAATATTTATCTTTCACTATGTTGAATATATTTAATGATATAGTATCTGTATGGTCTTGCACCACACACCTATCTTGATAGATGATAAAAACCACTGCTTGATTTTAATAGATTTATTGCACACAATATATTTTACAATAATAGTTTGATAATGTCACATTTAAGTAAGTAGGTGATTGAGACGCGTAGCCGACTTGTTAGGCAATAGCGAACTAAAAAGAAATATTAATACTTAATTGTCGTGTGGCGTAAATGCTGACGCGGAGGAATGTTCGGTGTTAAACCGTACAGTATCTATAGTAACAATTTAAAGAGGAAAGATTTTATTGTTAGCTTGCAACGAATAGGCTCTGAAACTACTGAACCAATTTATGAAAATAGGAGTGGAAATATGTAAAGGGAATGAAAACGTTACCATAGTAACGATTGTATAATAATAAATTTGTCTTTGTTATTATATCCGTGTCATCGTTTCAAGATATGAATTGTTATCCATATAAGCAGTTCCCTAGGGACAACGGGGGCGAACCCGCTGACCGAAAGCTAGTATTTAATATTTTTAGTGGGTGATATAATAGGCAACTATTATATAAAAAATATCGATATCGCTAAAAAGCATATATATAAAAACTTTAAAAAAGAACAGACTTATCTCAAAGGCAATTTATTAACGAAAATTTTATTGAAATCGGGCGCCTATAATTTGATTGTTAAACCTAAAATAACTCCGTCCGGCTTCAATAGTATTTCTTGAATAA